GAATTTTTACACTGTCTATGAATTGGCTTCTAGATTTATTTATAATTGGAAAATAGGTTGAGCGTAATAATTCAGAAACTCAATTAGTTCCTGTGATTTTCTTATCTCCATATCTCATTAAAAATCATTCTAATTCAGTAGAATTCGTTTAAGTTAAGCACAAAAACCACCCAAATTCATTTTAAATAAATGGCATTGCCTTGTTTAAGCCGTTCAAATAAAATTCATAGGAAATCCTTAAGTTACTTTATTTCTAAGCTTACACTCGCTCAATTGAATTCTGCTTAATTTATACAATTGCATACATGTTTGTGTATTTTTGTTTGCCTCAACATAAATCTTAACAAAGCTAACAGCAATGCCAACAACAAATGCTGCTAACCATTTGTCAATTTTAAATACATTTATTGTATTTGCATGCCTGTCTAGTCCCCGTACAACGAAAGAAAAAGCAACAATAATTTAATAACCCACAAAGCGACAGACACACGCTCGCAGAAATACATGCAGACAAATAGACAGACATTCGAGCCAAGTTGCCTTGTTGGCCAAGTGTTGTGTCTATGAATTATTCAAATTCAATTATAAAAAACGCAATAAATAAAAAATGTTTATATGCAAAGGAGATAAGAGAGATAAATCCGAAAGAGGAGGAAAAACATTACTTGTGTATCGAATTCTCTAAGGACCCTTTTGATATAGTAAGTGCCGATTCAGTAATGAATGTTAAAGCAAGGTTATGAGTTTAATTGTGAAAAAATATTTATACCCGTTACTCGTAGAGTAAAAGGCTATATTCGTATTCGTGCAAAAGTATGTAACAGGGAGAAATAAGCCTTTTCGATCCTATAAAGTATATATATTCTTGATCAGGGTCACTAGCCGAGTCGATATAGCCATGTCTGTCTGTCCATCTGTCCATCTGTCCGTCTGTCCGTCTGTCTGTCTGTCTGTCCGTCCGTATGAACGCTGAGATCTCGGAAACTACAAAGGCTAGAAAGTTAAGATTACCCACACATATTCTTGGGCTTCCTACGCAGCCCACAATCGCCCACAAACGATTTTTAAATGTGTCTTGCGATAGATTTCGGAAAGGTAAAAATGCAATTTTATTGTAAAATAATTTGTTCCAATCGGACCATTCGTTAAAAAGTTATGCCCGATCAAAGTTTCATATCTCCATCTCCCTCGCACTCCCTTCAGCTAAGTATCGGGTATTAGATAGTCGGGGCACCCAATTATAGCGTTCTCTCTTGTTTTGAATTGAAATGTATTAAATTTGAATATTGTTTTATTTACATATTTTAAAAATATTGTTATTGCTCCAAGATATGAAAATACTTTTCTACTTTACAAATTCATTATTTTATACGTGTAAATATGTAACTAAAAATATATTTAGGCAAAATATTAGGTATACAAAACATTTTACTGTATCTGCCATTTCCGATGCTAGCCTTAAATTTTTTTAACAATGATTAATTTCTGATGTTCAATAATTTCTTGGATATCAACAATACTATGATCCCTGATAATATTGGCATACCCTTTTTCCTGTGGACCCAAGAACGTGCGGCAAATAGCAAGAGAAGCAAAACCAAAAAGGGAATATTTATTATTTGAAAAATACCTTGAGGCCGTGCGAACTTCGTGAGTTCATAAATAACATGCGGTCCAAAACGGGACAAAAACCAGAAAAAGTGCAGAGGGCAGCAAACAGAATTTGATAAGCGATAAGGAGCAGCGTCCCCGAGGCAGCCGTACAAATAATAATATTAGTAATAATAGTAATCAATGTGTAGTGTAAATAATAAATAACACCGGGCCGCTCTGGGTCCCAGAAAACGCCAATATATTGGTAAAAGATGATGAGGCGACGGACGGGACGGGACAGTCGGTCCTCAATGCTGGATGGCCCATGAGCGATTAGCCCCGGCACGCAACAGCCGTGAAGTGTGCTTACAAAGGTCAAAAGGAAGCCCCGAGTACAAACACACTCGGCGAGATAGAAAACATAAACAACATAAATTTATTTGCTGTTAGCCTAATGTTATTTATACCTTTCAATTACAATAACAGCAGGAACAGGAGCAGGGACAGGGCGGGGGCAGCGGGTCTGGGTCTCGGCAAAGTAAATAATAAACCATGACCCATCAGCAATCAGCCAGAAAAGTGGACCCCTTACCCCGCACTATGAAGCATAATGCGTGCGCATAAATAACTCGGCCATCTCTACAGGGCCATCCCCGCGAAAGGTGTGAATATTAAGCCGGTGGCAGCGCCAGTTCCCCAAAAATTTACGGTCGCCCGTAAAAGTTCCGCTCCAGTCATAACTCAAATTCATGCCTCCCAGGGGAAAGGGCTGCCGCCGCGTTGCCAACGCATTTGATTTTGGCGCCCGACTCCGGCACCAAAACGCCCGACAAATGAGGCAGCCAACCGCAGCAATATAATTCGGCAAATCTAGGGATGCAAAACGACATTAACGCGGGCTCAGCAGCCAACCGCCGGGTCTTCGCAGGGTTCTTATACCCAAAACGCGCGGATCAATCATTCCGGCCAACCTTTTGCCAGGCGACCTTAGTCCGATATCATCCAGTTACACTCATAAAAATTAATTTCTAAATTTTGGAAATCTCGCCATTGAATCGGCCTACCTTTGAAAATAGAAAAAAAATTTCTTGTTATTAGAAAATTGTCCTTTGAATACAGAAAACCTTTCTTGATGGAAAAAATTCAAGAAAGAATTTTTCTTAAAAATAGAAAAATGAAAATCTCATATGTTTGTTTTGCCGTCCCAGCCAAAACATTTTTGTACGTATTTAAGGACAAAATCACCTTCGAATATATGAATGAAATGACCCTAGAATATAGGAAAGTAGCCATTGACTTCCTTCGGCTGCCGAATGTTAACGACAAGAAAAACGAAGTGGGACGAAGGGCCTACCCGGCTACCGACTTCTCTGATCCCCCGAGCGTCAGTTGTGAAAAAAATTCGTGAGTGATGGACGTGATTTTCAAGCGGATAAGAGGTTAAGCCTTTTTCCAAATATTCAAAGGTATGTAAATATATAATTTTTTGTATAGCGGGCGTACAATTGTATGTATGTAATTAAAGGATAAATTTCAAATCTCTTTACCAAGCGTATACCAATTTAGTTGAATGGTTTTTTAGCTAAGAGCTACGTACATACATACATTTGTATATAAATCTGTGGGTGTAGAGTTCTATAATAACTTTATCTTATTACTCGCATTTTATTTATTTTTCAGAGTGAAAATACCTGCAGTTGCAACAGCCAAATAATTTGTTTGTCGAAGCTGTAATTTTGTTTTAAAACCTTCTAAGGTAAGAAAAATATGTTGTATTTGTTTGACATACTTATGTATGCATGTAAATATCTATGCATGTACGCGGCTCACCCGATCTGAAACCCGATTTTCAACCCTTTCATATTCTGCTCCTCTCTCTCGCTCGCTTGACCTACGCGTCGCGACGTTTCTCTCTACTCCTTCTTAAAATTGTCATGATCTGACCTGCTTACATTCGGTCTCCCTTCGCGCAAAGGACTGTATGTAAATATATATGTATGTATGTGGCTCTTTCTGAAATTAGATTTTCAACCCTTCCTTCTTCATTTTCTACCTGTCTTGCTCCTCTCTCGGTCGTCTGACCAACGTGTTTGTATTTTGGCTATTATTAACATTACATTATTATCTATTATCTAAAAACATCTATCTATTCTTATCTAAAAACAAATCATTGATATCCCAATAACTCTTTTTTTCCAGATGAGGAAAGCCGAAGAAAATAATTTTTTATGCCTGCAACTACATATTTGGTTATAATAATGTTTTCTTAAGTCAAAAATGTGTTATTTAAAATTGTTTAAATGTTCAGTGTTAAATGTTTTAAATTTAAATAAATAAAATATGCAAAAGAAAAAACCAAGTTACATTTTATTTTTAGGGTTTCAGTGTTAATATAAAACTTCCCTTCAAGAAATATTATTTCTTAAATCAAGAAATAAAATTTCTTGAAAGGAAATTTAAACAAGAAAGAATTTTTCTTGTTCAAAAGGTGCCTTTCTAAAAAACCCTTTCTTGTTTTAAGAAATTTAATTTCTTGAAACAAGAAACAAACCACCTTTGAAACAAGAATCGCCTTTCTTGTTTTAAGAAATATTTTTTCTTGTTTTTATGGTGGCTTTCTAAAAAACCCTTTCTTGTTTTAAGAAATTTAATTTCTTAAAACAAGAAATATTTTTTCTGGTTTTAATGGTGCCTTTCAAAAAAACCATTTCTTGAAACAAAGGTGAGGTCGCCTTTGGCAAAAATTCAAGAAAGAATTTTCTAGATTTTAAGGAAATTCTTCGATTTTTTTTTATGAGTGTAGCGTTCACCTTAAACTTAAAGGATTGTTTGAGATTAATCCTCTAACCAGCATTTATCAGCATTGTTTTGAATGAGCCTTTATGAGCTTACGTCTTTTAAATATAGTTCAAAGGTCAAGAAAATTCACAAAAATAAGTTAACACGATTAGGTCCGTTCGTTTACGCTTTCGAGGTTTAGGGGGTAGGCTTAAAAGAAAAAAGCAGACATAAAAAACGGGCCTAAAACTGTCGTACGAACAAGTGAATACCCCATCTCGGAATCTTCAAAAGCTCTTTGTTCTATGTGAATAAAATAGAATATTCGTTGAACTATTGCCAACACCTGGTCTAGAGATTGCTAGGAAATTATAGTTCAAGAAAAATCCTAATTGGTAATTTGAATTGATATCACAATATTTCTACATAACATTTACGTTGATTTCGAAATAATTTATTCAAGCTCATTATAATGAACGAAATTTTTGAAAAATTTATAAATAATTGTATTATCACCCTAAGCGAAATCTATATTGAATTACCAGTTCAAATAGATAACCCCACAAATTGCGTGCGTTGCACTCCAGTGCAGCTCTTGATTTTGAGCTAATCAAAATCTGAGTCAGTCTTAAATCGTTATTGAACCTGGTCAGATCGCCATGAGCTCACAGCGCCTGTTTGTACTTGAAGTGATTTTCCTTCTACTTTTCGTAGAAGGATTGACATCGGTGAGCGACTTAGAGTGGGACCAGTACAAGGATCAGTACAAGAAGCAGTACAGGTCCACCGACAATTACCACCGGGACCTGTACAACAAGAGAGTCCAGGTTGTGGCCGATCACAATAGGCTCTTTTCCGAGGGCAGCGTAGGATTCAAGTTGGGATTGAACGAGTTCTCCGACACAGATCAGAGTGTCCTCTTCAAGTTTCGAACTTCGATCCCAACTCCGCCGGAACCGAATACTTCCGGCGTTACGAAAACGTTGGGCTACAAGAGCTACGATCAAATAACCGAGGGAATAGACTGGCGCCAGAACGGCTATATATCGGCAGTGGAAAATCAGGGCACCCAGTGCCTGAGTTGCTGGGCCTTCTCCACCTCGGGAGTCCTTGAGGCGCATCTGGCGAAGAAGACGCGCTCCCAGTTAGTGCCACTTTCGCCCAAACATTTAGTGGACTGTGTTCCCTATCCGAATAATGGCTGCTACGGGGGTTGGGTGAGTGTGGCCTTCAACTACACGAAATATTACGGCATCGCCACCAAGGAATCCTATCCTTACGAGCCCAAGGGTGGGGAGTGCAGCTGGAACAGCTCATACAGTGCGGGCACCTTGCTGGGCCACGTCACTCTGACCAAATCCGATGAAAAAGAACTGGCCGAGGTGGTCTACAACATTGGACCCGTGGCCGTTTCCATTGACCACCTTCACGAAGAATTTGAACTGTACTCCGGTGGCATCATGAGGATTCCGGAGTGCAGGTCATCCAAGAAGGATCTAACACATTCCGTCCTTCTGGTGGGCTTTGGAACCGATCCGAAGTGGGGCGACTACTGGCTAATCAAGAACTCCTATGGAACCGCCTGGGGCGAGGATGGCTACTTTAAGTTGGCTCGAAACGCCAACAACATGTGTGGAGTGGCAACCCTTCCCCAATATCCCATTGTTTGAATAGGCTTAATTGGAAATTAATAAATATCTTTCAATATATTTAGGCCTACTTTTTTTATTCTTTATTCTTAATTTTTTACATATCCAAATTGTTTTAAAATTGCAGAGTGTCTTACTTTAGGAAGTTCAACTCTTTACGTTATCGTTGTTGTTATTGAATATTTGTAATAAACTTCTTGTAGTAGGGGAGAAGGGGGCTCGAATAGTAAGAAAAGTTTCGTTAGACATAGCAGCTATAAATAAAGAGCCATAACTTTTTTCTACATCATCAATTGCAAAGCCTTCGAGGAACGTTGCGAAATGTCAACATACTTTTAAAAATTGTCAAGCCCGAGTACTGGGGTCATAACAGTACGAAATTTACTTTCGCTGTTAACGGTATAGGGTAAAAAATATCATTTTCATAACATATTATTGGACTCTTTGGACACCGATCCTTTGATCTAAAATGGAGTACATTTGTTGTATTTCTTTTCTAACCTTTCTTTGCTTTTAAAAATGCGGTTATATTTTTGTAAGTTTCTTATTTTATTATTTTTTTACTTGATTTCTACAATTCCATTATTCCTTAAAAATTTCGCGCTGTCAAATTCTTGTTTTGCCGCCCTTAACCGCGACTTAGGCCATTTTGCTCAGTTTGACTGCAATATGGCTCATCAAACTCTCGCTTTCAAATTCGACCATTAGCGCAACCAATACTATGACCAATAGTTCTACCAAACGGCAGACCATGTGTTATCATATTGTACCATCTACTATTTTCACCACAGAAGGAATGTTTAAAGTCTTGGTAAATACCACGAAGATTAAAGACCAACAAAATATTTAGTAAGAGAAACGCATGAAATTTCCCTTCAGAAAATATTTTTTTCAAAAAATCTTGCGAGCGATGAGTGTCTAATAAAGTATACCGAACAGAATGAAACTATTTTCACAAACTTGACATTGACGGAAATCGGTTCGTAATTTCTTCAACTGATAGCGCTTAAAGCTCCAATTTTTAATGCTGCCCTGTGGTGGTCTTAGGAACCTTCAGTAAACACGGCACGCTATTTAAACGAGCCTTTTGGCCGCTAGGGCCACATACTATTCTGCCCTTTAAGCATTCGATCCCTCCCTATCATTTCGAACCTTTTTTAATTTTATTGTTGATTATATTAACAATTCACGTTCTGTTATTGCACCAGTGATGAATTACCCCAATCTCCTCTTATAATTATGTGTTTCTTGGAATTAAATTTGCGTCTAATACCCGAGAACTGGAATTCCTGGTAGCAGTTTTCAGCGATAACGATCAGAAATCAATCTATAAATCATTCAGATAATGCCAATCATTTGTCGAAAATGTTATACAAAAACGAAAGTTAGGTGATAAGAAAGTGTTTTGATTTGATTCAAATTCTTATCACAAATAATGCACATCGCCGCGCTATTCTACGAATTAAATGTTGAGTATTAGCATGCACGGAAAGGAGGGACAGACCTGAAAAACATAAATTTGTTTGTGAATTTTAACGCTATTTTCAAAGTATGGTTTTCTAAAATTCAGATTGATTTTTTCTGAGTATATTTACAATTTATGTAAAAATGTTTTGCCCCGAATAGTAATTTTATATAGTAATTAAATGCACTATAATTTTCACATTCGCCCCGCCGTAAAAAAATTATTATTTAGGCATTTTCTTTGCAGTGTGCCGAATGAGAAAATATTAGAATGTGTATTTAATGACGAGAGTAATAATTTTTCGTCACAAATGTTGATATCAGAACTTTAATATGTTGAAGGTGTGATCGTCAATTGTTTTTCACCTCGTTAAGAGGAGTTCTTATTTGATATCAGAAGTTTTTGTTGGTTTACTTTTGCTCTCATAAGAGCTTATATATACATTTAAATTTAAATTCTTCAACCATAATTTTTAAACTATTGTATTTAAACAAATTAAGTTAAAGATGGCCTTTGCGTATTTCAAAATACCTTTTAAACGATTTATAGCAGATGTCTTTAGCTTTAGATTCTAAAGTTTAGAAGTTACGAACTTATGAAATTTTGCTATTTGAGACCTGAAACTTTTTTTACATGTACTGAATAATTGTAGGGGAGAGTGGGGGAATATCGTCACAGGGGCAATTTCGTCACCTGCAATATCTCGGAATCCATAAGTCGTAAAAATATATAATTTTTTTGTTTTAGTCCTTCAAGACGGCCAGACACAACCAACGCATTTGTTTTGCACAGAAGGCCAACTAAGCTAATTAAGCTATAATATTAATTGTGTTTTAACAGTTCAAAAGCTACATTTAGTTCTCGACGAAATTTTTTCTGTATGCCACAATTGAAAAGGTTTTTTTATATAATACACAGTGCTATAATGTGCATTTCTGGGTTAGTGATTTTTAACTTCGCGCCTAATTTCGGAAGAAAAATAATTATTTCTAAAAAAGTATTGTGTGGGGAAATTTCGCCACCCTTTGCTTAGGGTAAATTCGTACCTATTTTAAATACATTTTTTTTTTATTTGACGAGCTGGCTAACGAACAGACTACCGGCAGCAGCAACAAATATAGGACGTGAACAAAAATGGTACGCTTGATCAGTGTAGCATATTTACAGGCGTTAAACTCCCTACATTTTTCAGGTGACGAAATTGCCCCTGTGGTGTGGTGATTTTACCCCCCTGTGTGGCGAGATTGCCCCAGTATATTGGTTTTACTTTTTAATTTTTTATAAATCACCAAGGTAATTAAAAAAATAGGGGAATGTCACATTTTAAAGCTTGGTGCTAACCGCATTCAACAATAAAAATAGAAATATGATAACGTGTCTCAAGATGGGCAAAAAATAGCTTTGAAAAAGCTATTTTTTAAGCGTGACTTTTCACAATAAGGTGTTATATGCCAAAATTTGAGGAATCTCAACGGCTTTACAGATTAAAGTTTTAAAGGAAATCGTTTGAGCGAACAAAACTAAATAAAAAAGTTAACGAAAAATTAGTTTAGTTCATTATATTTTAATTATTATATTTACAAAAATTGGTTAAGAAGGCGCTTATTATTATTATTATTATTATTATATTTAAAAATACCTTTAATATGATGTAAAGCGCTTTAGCTTAAGTATTTCGCAATTTATCTTCTTACGAAATTTAGCCATTTATAGCTGTTTTCCCGCTAAACTAGCGAGGTTTCCGAAAAGTTGTAGAACTAATTTTTCATATATCGAGCTGTCTAACATAAAATCCATGACTTTAACCCAACCTTTTGCGACAGACTGACAAACAGAATTAAATTTCTGATTTCATCATATAAAATGAAATGATGAAATAATTTTATCATATGACCCCTCATTCAACACAACTGTAAAATTATGAGGTGGCATTCCCACCGGACCACACTGGGGTGAGCGACCCCAAAAGTGACGATTAATTCAAAATAAAAATTTTGAATTTGCTCAATGAGGGTCATATGTGGATAAAATTCTGCATTAGGAAGTGAAAGAATTATGGTCCTAGGTCTTACAGAAACCTCACAATGTGCACCCAAAGTTGAAACTTTGTTTTTTCGTTTTTAAAAATACGAAAATATTATGGTTTTTTTCTCACTTTGAGTGATGATTTATACAATAAAAATAAACAAAATCCACTTCTTGAAAATGGGAATAATAAATTTTAACCTTTAACTAATTTTACAAATTTTTTAACTTTTTTTTTTTTATATCTTTATAAAAAAATGTATTAACAAGAAAGGAAGCTACCTTCGGCCAGCCGAAGCTTATATACCCTTGTAGATAAAGTAATGCTCACTCGGTGCAGTTCCAGGGATTCCAAATTCAGCGTTTCTATTTTAATTTTGTTTATACATAAGTAGTCAAGAATCAAAACGCCTACTTCCTACAAAGTTACAATGAATTTTCTTATATTTGTTTGAATATTCCTATGAGAGCCTTAAGATATAGTGGTCCGATCCGGCTCGCTCCGACATATGTACTACCTGCAATAGAAAGAAGACTTTCGGGAAAGTTTCATCGCGATGGCTTTAAAACTGAGAGACTAGTTCGCATAGAAACGGACAGACGGACAGACGGACATGGCTAGATAGACTCGGCTATTGTTGCTGATCAAGAATATATATACTTTATTATTATTATGTTGAACATAAAAAATGTCCGTCTGTCCGTCTGTCTGTCCGTCCGTATGAACGCAGAGATCTCGGAAACTATAAAAGCTAGAAGATTGGCATTTTGCATGTAGATTTTAGGAGTTCCTACGCAGCGCAAGTGTGTTTCAAAATGGTGCCACGCCCCCTCTAACGCACACAATCGCTTAGATACGATTTTAAAAATTTTAATATTTTGGAAAAGTAAAAATGCAGTTTTATTGTGTTTATCAATACCTATCGAAATGTAGAAGAAATTTTTCAAATCGGACCATTCGTTAAAAAGTTATTCGTGATCAAAGTTTTCTATCTCTATCTCCATCTCCCTCGCACTCCCTTTACCTGAGTAACGGGTATCTGATAGTCGGGGCACCCGACTATAACGTTCCCTCTGGTTTTAAAATAACTTTTGGCTGCTCCCACTGATCACGCGATGCAATTGATAAGACTAAACTTTGTCAACTTTTGCTCGCTTCCCAGTGTAATTTTGCAGGGATTTCTAAAGTCAAACTTCAAACTTTATCTTTCAAAAAAAAAATTGTTTGTTTTGTTTTGTGCCTGTTTTCGTAATAGTTGAACATTTCTAAAACTGCGGCTTCAAGCTCATCGACCTCAAAAATAGTTCAACTTTTGCTAAAAGTCCCGCTAGATTGGCCAAATCTTACACTGTGCGGCGGTGGCTGCACAGGCAGAAGAAGCTGCCAAGGCGGCCGAATCGGATGGGGACTCCATGGGATCGGCCAGTGATCTGCGGGCAGAGGATGATGATCTCTTCGACGAGAATCCTCGGAACAAAAACGTTAAAAAAATTCTAGCTTCGGTGTTTTTTTCAACTTTTACCTTCTACTCTTGGGAATAATATTTTTATATATTTCCAAATTTTGAAT